CCACAGGGGGGAGGGAGGAATCTGGATTTCATTCTTCCCCATTCCTCTGGCTTGCCCCCACCCCACCCCGCCCATCACCATTTCTGCGTCCTTCTCTTTGTCCTGCCCACTTCCAAAGCCCCACAGCAGACCTCCAGGCACAGGCGTTGACGTGCACTGTGGCTGGTACAAATAACCCAAAATGCCAGCTGAACCTCAGCCAAGTTGCTTTTTAATGTCTGTACCTATGCAAATGTATGGGGCTGCGGTGGCTCAAGTGGTTAAGACACTGAACTGCAGACCAGAAGGTCGGTAGTTCAGCAGTTCGAGACCCGAGTATGCTGCATGACGGAGTGAGCTCCTGTCTCTGGCCCCAGCTCCTTCCAACCTAGCAATTTGAAAGCAAGAAATTGCAAGTAGATAAATAGGTACTGCTTCGGTGTGAAGGTAGCAGCGTTCTGTGCACCTCGGTGTCTAGTCATGCCAGCCACATGACCACGGAAATGTCTTTGGACAGCGCTGGCTCCTTGGCTTGGAAATGGAGATGAGCACAGCATCCCTAGAGTCGGGTTTGACTGGCTTTCGAGCAAGGGAAATCTTTACCTACCTATGCAAACATTGTGACTGACTGGGCGGGGGGGAGGAGTCCACTATTTTAAAAAAATATATACAATTTTAGGTTTTTTCCCCCCAGCTCTTGGAATTCTTCGGATTTTCAGAAGCCTAAATGGTAGCCACAGCCCCTATTTCTTAAATCATTGATCTTTAAGGAATTAGGCTCTTATTTCCACTTCAAAGGATGTCTGTTTGGCCTCTTTTTTTTTTTAGAACATGGAACCTTGTAGAAGGAAGATCGGCTTTCGTAAAAAATCTAAAACAAAGTAAGTGCATTGCGTTTGCTTTGCCATATTGATCAAAATATTGATATTATTTCAGCATGCACCACATTTCAGTACACACCACAATAGAAAACAAAGGATACATTGTAGAAGTCTGTCTGTCACATCAGTAAGTGAGAGACCACAATTATTGTTGTTATATTTGTAATCCAGATGCAAACAGTGAAAATGCCTGGTTCAAAAGTTTACCACTCTTTATTAATGCCAGCATGTTCAGTAAAATGCTGTTGTAAATAATTAGCCTTCTGATTTGTCAATATTCCTGGCTGAAATACCATTTTATTCCTAAACGATTCTTCTCTTCTGAATCCTGCACAAAGCCTCCACCAGTCTCTGATTAAATCCTTTGTTGTCCCTGGTCTCCCACGCCCAACCTGTTGCTACGTCTCTTGGCACTGTGCCAGGCAGTCACCTGCAGAGGCATCTCATATTTCTTCCACCCATTACAGCTAGGACTGGTGCTTCTGTTCAGGGTGTTCCTGGCAACTGTATGCTTCTCCAGTGGCCTCATTTGTGACGAATGTGCTCTAGGCAGAAAGTTTAATTAAGAGAGAGCAAAACAACCCCCACAAAAACTGCAATCAGAAGTGAAAAAAAATATTCTTTTAAAATGAAAGCCGAGATCAAATGTATTCACCGGCTGCATTGTTGCCATGCAGCCACTTCAGATGGCATTATCAGTCCACATGCGTCACTGGTCACATACAAGCCTCTCGTTGGACAGGTAACGTATTACCTGTCAGCGATATTCGTGCTCATGCGAACGTCACTATCGTTTCAACTCTGTATTCCTAGCTCTGTATTGTTTGTATGAATGCTTGATTATTGTTTGTATGCTTGAAGAATATTAAGTAAAGAAATCATTATTTTAGCAACACAGTCATCTGTTCACGGGCTCTGGGAATTCTGACTCCCATACACACAGGTTATGATTCCATATTTTATGCCTATTTCCATTTGATATTCATAATTCCCCCAAGCTTATTAATAGAGTAAGGCAATTTGGCTAACAGCATATAATCTTCATTTACATGGAAGGTGGCTGGTAAATATTGATAATTCAGTCTTACAACAAAACTTCACAGTAGCGGTCAAACATTGTATCCCCACTTGCATTCTGCTTGCACAAGATAAGAGCTTGGCTGGTCCATCTAGTCCAGTATGTTGTCTCATACAATGCTCAGCAAGTTACTCTGGAGGACCAATAACAAATCACAGAGGTGGAGGACTTCCCTTGATGTTACCTCCTGGTACTGATATTCTAAGGTTTCCTGTCTCTGATTGTGGAGGTTCCCTTTAGTCACCATGGCTAGTAACCACTGAGAGACCGATCCTTCATGAATCTGCCTAATCCTCTTTTAAAGTCATTTATGCCTATGACCTCTGACAGTGAATCCCACATTTTAACCGCTCACATGAAGAAGTATTTCCTTTAGTCTGTCCTGAATAGCAATGTCATTGAATGCCCTTGATTTCGAGTATTTGGGGAGATATTTGGGGAGATGGAGAAAAAGTTTTCTCTGTCCACTCATTCTACCCTGTGTATAATTTTATAAACATCTTAGGTGTAGGCGTAACTTCTTCACTGAAAAGTCCCAAACCCTTCAGCCTTTTCTTATAGGAAAAGTGCTCCAGCCACCTTAATCATTTTGGTTGCCCTGGCCCCAGTACTGATCCTTGCGGGACCCCACCACTCACTTCCCTTCATTGCAAGACGTGCCCATTTATGTCATGCAACCAATTTATGGGCCCTATAATATATAAGGAAGAAAGCACTTGGTGTTCCACAAGTTAGTGCACAAGTAGAACTACATTAAGTCCTGGTTTGTTTCCAATTGTGTGTCTCTGGATCCAAGCCAATGTATATATAGAATCCCTGGGGAACCATTGCCTTTTGCATTGCCATATAAAATCCTAATATATATATTAAAAATGTGTTAACATAAGGTTGGTTCTGACCTGGTGTTCCGGATCCTCCAACCCATGGCAGGTTCACACATACCCTTGTTCCTTCTTTCTCCCCTTCATATGGTTGGATTCCATCCCTTACTTTCTGTCAATAAACTATTTGTTAGCTATTGAATGCAAACTTGGCAAACTGTTTTGTGTCATAGTTTGCCTGGTTCACACATCATGCCAAATAGCAGCCAACATTCAGACTATCCGCTCGCCTCTGTAGTAAGTGTTTGTTTTGTTCTTACTTTAAAATCTTCCACTGACAAATCCAATCTCATTTCCCCCTCGATAACTTAGATGCTCATCTTGTTAAATGGTCACCCAATGGAGAATCATATGTGGTGGTTACAGCAAATAAAGTGGATATATACCAACTTGCAACTGCTTCTGTCTCTGGCACCATCGTTACAGAAAGGAGAGTGTCTTCAGTAAGATTTATTACAGTAAGTACAGAACAATGGTGAAATAGCAAAAACATTAAGAATAAATACCCTTTCGTCTCTGACTTATTTTCTTCATTACCCTTTCTTAAAGGATTGCATACTTGCCATTGCTGGAGATGAAGAATTTGTACGGTTCTTTGACTGTGAATCACAGGAATGTCTTTGTGAATTTAAAGCTCACGAAAACAGGTACTTTCTATTTACCATAGAATGGGCAGGGCGTTAGGTATGTTTTGGCTTAATGTTTTAAATAACCACTTAAATCAGGGGTGTCAAACATGCAGCCCGGGGGCCGCTTCAGGCCCCTAGAGGGCTTCCATCAGGCCCGCAGTGGAACTGGCCATCTCCTGCTTCCAGTTCTGCTGCTGCTGCTGCATCATAGCTTGCTTCGCCAGACTCTCTTAATCACTCAGCCATTTAATGTTTTAACCTGGGTCCTAGATGCAGAACTCTGAGCATGAGATTTCTGTGGTGAATGTCAATAAATCAAAAGTAGGTTTGCAGCTTACAGAGCTAATGTTTTAAGCATGTTTTTATTTTAAGTAAAAAAACACTTTGTGTTTGTGTCCTTTATAAAGTTTATATCTCCGCTACCTGGCATTACATTTTATGACACACATGGCCCGGCCAAGCAAGGTCTCATTTATGTCAGATCTGGCCCTCATAACAAATGAGTTCGACGCCCCTGGCTTAGAGGGCACATTAGTGACAACTACACTACAAATGTATGTTGGGTTAGTCAGTTGGTGTAGTGGTTAGGAGCATGGACTCTAATCTGGAGGAACCAGGTTTGAGTCCCCACTCCTCCACATACAGCTGCTGGTGTGACCTTGGGTCAGTCAGAAGTTCTCTCAGAGCTCTTCTTTCAGGAGCAGTCCTTGAAAGAGCTCTCTCAGCCCCACCTGCCTCACAGCCACTCTGTCTGTTGTGGGGAGGGGAAATGAAAGGAGTTTGTAAGATGCTCTGAGACTCCTTCAGGTAGTGAAAGGACAGGGTATGAATCCAATCTCTTCCTTTCTTCATCTTCACTGTGTGACTGAAGGCAAGCTGTGGCTGTCTCTTCTTGTGGCTTCATGCTTTCAGCCATTTTGTGGCAGCCATTTTGTGGCTCCGCCCACCACACTGTGTCAGAATTCCAAAGGTGCCCGCAGGCTCAACAGGATTGGGGACCCCTGGGGTAGCGCATGAGTGGCTATCCCTACAGAGGGGGTCCAGCACAGCTGTTGTGTTTGTAGCTTGCCTGAATGAGTACAGGAGGCCCTTTAGGCCTGATGGTGACATAAAGCCACACCTCCCCTCTTGTCCCTCTGTGTGTGTGTTTGTGTGTGTGTAGGCCCTCAACATCAACAGGATTGGGGACCCCTGGGGTAGCGCATGAGTGGCTACAGAGGGGGTCCGTGGGTAGCACAGCTGTTGTGTTTGTAGCTTGCCTGAATGAGTACAGGAGGCCCTTTAGGCCTGATGGTGACATAAAGCCACACCTCCCCTCTTGTCCCTCTGTGTGTGTGTTTGTGTGTGTGTAGGCCGGAATAGCTGCATTGTTGTTAAGTGTGCGGACTCTTAATCTGGGAGAACCGGGTTTGATTCCCCACTCCTCCACATGCACCTGCTGATGTGACCTTGGGTCAGTCACAAGCTCTGGCACAGCTGTCCTTGAAAAAGAGCAGTTTGTGTCAGAGTTCTCTCAGCCCCACCCACCTTGCAGGGTGTCTGTTGTGGGGAGGGGAAGGGAAAGGAGTTTGTAAGCCGCTCTGAGACTCCAAGTGAAGGGCTGGGTATAAATCCAATCTCTTCTCTTCTTCTTCTTCTTCTTCTTCATTATTGTATTGCACATGCTAGAATTGCGGTATCTCCTACCTGGGCTTTGTCTTCTGTCCTTCTTGTCCCCAAAGGGTCAGCCGCCATTGTGTGCGAGAGACAGAGAGTTGATGCCGTGTTTTCTTTGGGGCGGGGCTCTTATTGTCCCGGGCAATCGATCCGTATCTCGCAGCAGACGGTGTCACCCTGTGCTCTGAAATTTATTATTAACTCACACCTACGTTGGTGTGATGTTTCCCAATTGCAGACCTACTTGTCAGTCGCCAAGCAAATCAGCAGCAGCCGGGCCCTGCAATGGGACGGCCAGTTCCTCTGCAGAACGAGGGTGACCTTAATAATAGTTTCAAGCCATTGCCAAATCCGGGCCAGGCCTCTTAAAACAAAAATACGGGGAAGACTCAAAGACTGGAGCCTCCGTAAATTAACCTGGCGCTTCTCTGGTTATTCTTTCACATCTCAGCCAAGCGAGACGTTCTGTTCTCTTGTAAGCATAGGTCACAAATGGAGTCCACTGTGGCTTGTCCCAGTTTTTGGTTTGGTTATCTGAGAGATGTTTAAATTGGTGTTATTGGTAAGGGGGGGGGCGCTGACCAAATGGTATAAAACAAGCCCCCAGGGATCTTGATTTGTTTGACGTGCTGGCAACCTGGATGCTGTTGTATTCCAGCCTCATGTCCAAAGCCGATGGCCACAGTCCCTGAACAGACCGAATTAGAAGCAAAAAAACTGTGCAAGAGTTTGCGCTAATAAATTTGAAATATTAATCAAAAAGATTTCATACAAAAGAGTGTACAATATTTGTATCAAATACAAATGAAGACGGTGATCTCCGGAATGTTCTGCCGTTTCAACTTCATTTGCCCATGGAAAGGCTTTTCTAGAAACTGTTTCTACAGTGTATTAGACAATCCTGAGAGAGCCATGAAATTGTTGATGATGAATCAGTTGAAATGAAATAGAGAGACACCACATGTATACATCATTGTTCAGAAGAAGACTTGTGTCGAAACGGCAGAACATTCCGGAGATCACCGTCTTCACTTGTATTTGATAAATTATACAAATATTGTACACTCTTTTGTATGAAATCTTTTTGATTAATATCAAATTTATTAGCGCAAACTCTTGCACAGTTTTTTGTTTCTACTTCGGTGTGTTCCAGCCTTACCCTGAGGATGCTTCGCTGTATCAGGCCCACGGTCCATCTCTTCCAGAGCTCAGCCAGCCAGGCATCTCCTGGAATCTCATGGGCAGGGTGTGAAAATCTCATTTCACTGGAACACAAGTGGTCTCATCCATTTCTCTCTAGCCTCCATATACCACGGACATTCATACAGAACATGCTTCACAGTCCACGAGAAGTATAAGAAGAGCCCTGCTGGACCAGACCAGTGGTCCATCTAGTCCAGCATCCTGTCTCACACAGCAGCCAACCAGTTCCTCTGGAGGGCCAACAACAGGGCATAGAGGCCGAGGCCTTCCCCTGATGTTGCCTCCTGGCTCTGGGATTCAGAGGCTTAGTGCCTCTAAATGTGGAGGTTCCCCTCAGTCACCAGGGCTAGTAGCCACCAGGGAGGAGACCTGCATTCCCCTAGATATTTTAGTTACAATTTAGTGGGTTCCAGGCCAACAAATATTCTTTTCTTAGCTAAATTTCTTGTTCAAGCCATCAGAGTTTGGGCAGCGTGTGACAAGACATCTGCTTTACTATGGTATAGCATGTCCCCTCTGGCTTGAATTATTCCTTTCATCCTTTTATTCCTAGATGGGAGTGATAGTACTGAAGACTTGTAGGTCAGAGGAGTAGAGAAGGAAAGAGAGACTAGCTGTGGCATAGTCAAGATGGGGAGAGCGGGGGTGGGAAAGCCTCCCGTGGTTGTGTTTCCGTTGTAAAAGAAAAAAAAAACCCTACAACAATTTGGGAGATTTATTACCCTCCTCTCCCGAAAAACATCTAGCCCCTTTCATGGAAATGCATCAAAATAGGTAGCTGTGTTAGTCTGTCTGTAGCAGCAGAAAAGAGCAGGATTCCGATAGCGCCTTAAAGACTAACAAAATTTGTGGCAGGGTAGGAGCTTTCACGCATCACCGCTCACCTCTAGTCACTCACGAGAGCACATATCCTGCCACAAACTTTGTTCGTTTTTAAGGTGCTACTGGACTCTTGCTCTTTTCTGCTTCTAGACCCTTTGTCATCAAACAGATTGTGACTCCCCTCCTCCACTGTTCGTCAAGTGGTGCTTGTGTGGAGATGGGATTGAGTTTGCATCAAACTCCTACCGTGGCTGGAAGGGGAAGCCATTCTCATCCCGGACAACGAAGCCTGTCTTCTGCTCTAAGCATGGCTACTTAGAGCTGAGGAGACCCAGTTCTAGTTGGCATCTACTGGAGGAGGGGGAGGATGAGGATGTGGCATTGTGTATAGTATAGCCAGGAGAGCCTAAGATTGTCCGGCAGCCAAAAGTTGTAGCTCTTTTTAGCATTATGCACCACTAGGTGGCAAGCTAGACTTGTTTTTAAGGCAGGAGGCATTTCAGAGGTGGTTTGCCATTGCCTGCTTCTGCCTTATGCCCCTGGTATTCCTTGGAGGTCGCCCTTCCAAATACTAGCCAAGGCTGACCCTGCTTAGCTTCCGAGATCCGATGGGATTGGGCTTGCATCTGAACCTGGGAGATATTTCAGAGAGCTGCACAGCATTGGCTGGGCTGTTCTGTTCTTTTGTGCCCAGAACTCAAGAAAACAGTCTAAGAGAAGCTGTAGAAAAGATGCCCAAAGTTCAAGAGTAATGCAGAGGAAAACCACTGTATCTGGCCTATGGGTTAGGCCCATACGATGGGTTATTGCAGAACAAAGTTTGAGTCCAGTGCCACTTTAAAGACCAGCAAAGTTTCATTCAAGGTACGAGCTTTCGTGTGCATGTATCTGACGAAGTGTGCATGCACACGAAAGTTTATACCTTGAATAAAACTTTGCAGGTCTTAAAAGTGGCACTGGACTCAAACTTTGCTCTGCTGCTTCAGACCTATGCGGCTGCCCACCTGAGCCTGAGAAAGAGATGAGGGTTCAATAAAATGGGGGGGGGGGTTGTATTCTTGTTAAGCTATCCAGGCAGGGAAGACTCTGTGGGTGATTTCCCACAAGCGCTGCTCCGCGGTCACTCCTCCCTTTTGCCCCGATGGTACGTGTCAATTTCACACAAGCTGCTGCGCGGCGGCCGCATTTTTGCCCCGCAGCTTCGTGCGATTTTCCCCGTGTCTACTCAATCCTCAAAAAACAGGATTGAGTAGACGCGGGGAAAATCGCACGAAGCTGCTTGGCAAAATGCAGTCGCGCAGCAGCTTGTGTGAAATTGACACGT